CATTATTCTTTAGTGTTGCACAGTATTCCATTGCATGTATGTACCATAGTTTGGTTATCCATTTTTCTGCTGATGGACACCTAGGTTGTTTCCACCTTTTGTCTATTGTAAATAGTGCTGCGATGACCATGGGTGTGCAAATATCTGTTTTTGTCCTGGTTCTCACTTCTTTAGGATATATACCTAGTAATGGGATTGCTCCATCAAATGGTATTTCTAATTCCAACTTTTTAAGGAATCATCATACTGTTTTCCACAGTGTTTGCATCAGTTGACAGTCCCACTAGCAGTGTATGAGAGACCCAGTCTCTCCACATCCTCACCAGTATTTGTTGTATATTGTGTTGTTGAATTTTGCTATTAGTGCTGTGGCAAGATGGTACCTCATTATTGTTTTTATTTGCATCTCTCTAATGGCTAAAGATTGCGAACATTTCTTCATGTGCTTGTTGGCCGCCTGAATATCTTCTTTGGTTAAGTGTTCTTGTCTTCTGCTCATTTTTAAATTGGATTGTTTGCCTTTTTGCTGTTGAGTTGCTGGAGTTTTCTATAACTTTTAGAGATAAGTCCTTTGTCAGGGATGTCATTGCCAAATAGTTTTTCCCAATCTGTAGGTTCTCTTTTGACTTTTTTGGAGAAGTCTCTAATACATAAAATTTTAATTTTTACAAGGTCCTATTCATCTAGTTCATCTTCTGCTGTTTGTGCATTTTGGGTGATGCTTGATAGTCTATTTATGCCATAAATTAGGAAGCCTAGATTTTCTGCTATTTTTTCCTTGAGGAACTTTATAGTTTTAAGCTCCACATTTAAGTCTTTGATCCATCTGGAGTTAGTTTTTGTATATGGTGTGAAGAATGAATCTTGTTTCATTTTTCTGCAAATGGATATCCAGTTTTGCCAGCACCATTTGTTAAAGAGACTATCTCTTCCCCATGTAATGGATTTCAGCCCTTTGTCAAAGATCAGCTGAGCATAGGTGGATGGATCTATTTCTGGGTTCTCAATTCTATTCCACTGGTCTATGTGTCTGCCATTGTACCAATACCAAGCTGCTTTGACTACTGTGGCTATATAGTAGGTTTTGAGATCTGGGAGTGTGAGACCTCCTACTTTGTTCTTCTTCAATTACAAAAATACCAAACTCCCTGCCGTTGAGTCGGATCCAACTCATAGCGATCCCTCCTTGGGTTTCCGAGGCAGTGTCACTACAGAAGTAGATTGCCCAAACTTCCTTCTGAGGAGTGGCTGGTGGGTTTGAACCACCAGCCTTCTGGTTAGCAGTCAAATGCCTTAGGCACTACGCCACCATCTGAGGTCTCTTTCCATA